CTAACCATTCATTCTTTTTCGTGCTTTTGGGAACTAAATCCCCCGTTAGGTTGGGTATAGTTATAAATATCACTAAAAGTTAAAGTTAGTTTTTGCTCTTTTAGCAAAGGTTTAAGGAGTTTTAAAGCTTGCTGCTCAGTAAAGTATTTGTAATTACCGAATTTGTTTAACTCCTTTTTGCTAATTTGGTCCGTCTGGCTTTGAAGGCAATGGAGTTTTTGGTAGATATTAGAGGCCGAATGAGCTGCTTTTTCTTTGGTCTCGTTTATCGTATAAGTCTCGCAGGTAAAAGAGGGCCGAGAACCATTACTGGTGGCTCATTGGCCGGTTAGTTGGACGGCTTGGCCTTTGGTTAAATTAGGTTTGGTTTTAAAGACTACCGGGATATCTTGCTCCTGGTTTGGAACCGAGAAAAATCCATAATGGTAATCCTGTCGGGTTTCGATTCGGGAGGTTAAGGTTCCGGTAATAGTTTGGGTTTTATGGATGATTTTAGGTCCTCCTTCGTTTCCTTTTTCCCTTTCCAGGGAAGTTTTTTTTACCATTTCTGTTTTTTGGCTGGCAAGATGAAGGTTGCCCTTCTCCTCATTTCGGCATATATCAGAGTCCGAAAAACTTTTTAATTGATTTATATTTTCATTCATTTTGCTTTTTGTTTATAGGCTAAAATGAACTTTAAAAAAAACTTCTGATTATAAAAATAAACAGAACTTTTTTGACCAAAAACCATAGCATCCTAGCTTTGGCAAGTTCAAATTTGCCTATATAGTAATTTTAACCTCTCCAAATCCTCCCAGCCAAAAAAAGCAAAAAACATCAAAAATCTTAAAACCTCGGCCGAGGCTATATATCGGCTATATATCGCCGGTGTGTCCCCCCGTCACTCTCTCGGCCGTAGTTCTCGTAAAAGTAAAGACTTTAAGCCTATTTTCGTAAAAAGAAAACATATGAACGACCAAGAAAAAATAACCTCGGCCAAACTAATCGAGGATCAAGGACAATTAAAAGAAAAATACGAGCAAGAACTGAAAGCCGTCCAGCAAGAAAACCTAAACCTGCAAAACACCATTCTTAAAAAGGATGACGAGATTTTCGAACTCCAAAAAGCCAATGAAGGCTTAAGCAAAGATCGAGACGAGTGAAAACTCCAAGCCCGTCGTAATCGTCGAATCGAATTAGATCAAGA